CTGCCTCGTGGGCCCGTAACGCAGAAGGGCCATGCACTTGGTTTAAAGCTTTGCTGTTGCCATCTTGACATTCTTAACAATTTAAAAATAAGGGTCCCCACATTTTCCTGTGTAGCCAGTCCTGTCCAAGGAGTCCGAAGAGCTCATGAGGGTGGACAGGGCACTGTCTGTTCTGGGCAGTGATGGGGCCACTAACAGCTGTTCTCCCGTCTGCCAGCCCCTACCCCAGGGTCACACTTTCCCCTGGTCTCTCACATTCTTTTTTTTTCTCTTTTTTTTTGAGGCAGGGTCCTGCTGGTACCCAGGCTGGAGTGAGTGCAGTGGTGCAAACTTAGCTTACTGCAGCCTCGACCTGGGTTCAAACAATCCTTCTGCCTCAGCCTCCTGTGTAGCTCACACCACCAGAGCATGCCACCATGCTCGGCTGATTTTTTGACTTTGTAGAAATGGGGTTGCACTTTGTTTCCCAGGGTGGCCTCAAATTCCTGGGCTCAAGTGATTCTCCCACCTCAGCCTCCCAAAGTGCTGGGATTACAAAGATGTGATCCACCGCCCCTGGCCTCTCTCACATTCTTGAGATTTAAAGTTACCGTCATTGATAAGGAACATGGTTACACTCCAATTTACTCAAGAAAAAAACTGTTTTCTCCATTAAAGAGATACATGGCCTAGCTGCTTCCTACTCTAGTTGAGGTCTTCTTTTTCCTTTTTCTTCTTCTTCTCTCTTGTTTTTTAGAGACGAGGTCCTGCTATGTTGCCCAGGCTGGTCTCAAAGTTCTAGCCTCAAGAGACCCTCCTGCCTTGTCCTCCCAAAGTGTTGGGATTACGGGTGTGAGTCACTCTGTCCAGCCTCAAACTGTGCTCATTAGATCAGCAGCAGCAGCAGCCTTGCCTGGGAGCTTGTTAGAAATATACTACCAGGCTCCCACCCCTAAACCCAGACCTACTGAATCAGACAGAGTCTGTATTTTCATAAGATCCTCAGGTGATCCAAATGCGGTCTCAAAGTTCTAGCCTCAAGAGACCTCTCCTGCCTTGTCCTCCCAAAGTGTTGGGATTACAGTGAGCCACCGTCCCAGCCTCAAACTGTGCCCGATAGACCGTGCAGCATGCTAGCCCCTTGCCTGGGAGCTGTTAGAAATATACTACCAGGCTCCCACCCCAAACCCAGATCTACTGAATCGTGACAGAGTCTGTATTTCTCAGTTAAGATCCTCAGGTGATCCAAATGCACCTCAAACTTCGAGGAGCTTTGATCCAGAACCTGGCTGAGGGACACTGGGCCACCCTGTTCCCGCCAGACTGCAAGGCATGTTTTTTCCTTGGCTCTCTCTCGTCCCAATGTCTCCTTCTCTCTGTGTCTGACCCTGAGGACCCAAGACATCTTCTCAGGGGAGCTCTAACTGCCAAAGGCCTGATTCTCTATAATCTGATGGGTTTCTTCTAGACACCAATCTCTACCTGGGCTCTTGTTGAAGAAGCTAATCAGCTCATATTGGTTGAAATCAGCAGGATATAAAACATGGCCATCTTCCAAGCCGTATGTGGATAAGAAGATAGTGTAATAAGAAGGCATATCACAACTTCTGATACTCACAAAAAGTCTCTCCCTCAGGCTCCCAGGATATACTTCCAGCGGAGTTTCCTTCCCCAATATGGTCACTCATAATTTACACCCAACAGTCAAACAAGAGTGGAAGTCAGATTTCATCCAAAAGAAGAAGAAGCTGTGGGGCTGAGTAAAGGCACTGGGATCATGTGTAGGTCTTACTCAAGATGTACAAATGGAAGGGCTTTAGCTTTTTGTTTTTGTTTTATATCTTGAGATAAATGTTCAATTTCTACACTTTAGAATAAAGAGTCACAATTTATGTTTCATAATTTTGTAGCTGCTTCCATATGTTTTTGAAATTAATGTAATCTTTATTTTCAAGTGATGATATGAATTTCTACCATAATACTCTACCCTTTCAAAGTATATCAAATTCAATTGGTTTAAACTCAATCTTGTGGTTTTCAGTACATTAAGTTTTGTCAGCCATCACAGTTATCTAATTCTAGATCATTTTCATCACCCCAAAAAGAAACTCTGTACCCAACAAAGAGTGACTCCCCATTTTCCCTCTTCCCCTAGCTCCCCCTGGTTACCAATTCATCTACTTCCTACCTCTGTGGACAGAAGTATTCCGCCTGGCCCTGGGATTTCATCAAATGGAATAATGAAATATGTGGCCTTTATGACTGGCTTTCATTTAGCATAATGTTGTCAAGGTTCATTCCATGTTGTAGCATATCACAGTACTTCATCCCTTCCTATGGCTGAATAAAGATCAATATGGACTTTTAGCAAAACATTCTACTTTTACTTCTACTGTGCTTATTGTTGTCTTTCTCCACAACAATGTGAGTAATTAAAGGTAGAGATTTTTGTCTATTTTGTTCACTACTGCTTCCTGTGCACCAAAAACATTGCCTGGTTGTGGGTACTTCTCTAGTTTTAGGGAGGAAAAGACAAGATATAGATCCTGACTGGGTTCTGCCTCTCATTCATATGCTACCTGAGGCATTCCTTCCCTTTGGAAGAATTCTTTTTTCTTCATCTACAAAATGGGGATAATAATGCTACTCACCAGGGTGGTTGTGAGGATTAAACAAGGTAAGAGATGTAAAATTGCATCTTAGTTATTGGATAGTTTTGTGTTCCCATCTAGCTCCAATGAGGGTGAGGATTTGCTCTGGGCTCTGGGTTTAATGGCAGACAGCTTCCTCCATGATGTTGTGGCTAGAGCCTAGGTATAGTCCCTCAAGAAAAGCTTTTTTTTTTTTTTTTTTTTTTTTTTTTTTTTTGAGACAGAGTTCTGTTTCTGTCGCCCAGGCTGGAGCAGTGGCGCTGATCTTGGCTCACAAGCTCCGTCCGGTTCAGGCCATCTGCCTCAGCCTCAGTAGCTGGGATCACAGGTGCCTGCCACCACGCCCCAGCTAATTTTTTTTTTTTTTTGTATTTTTAGTAGAAACGGGTTTCACCATGTTAGCCAGGATGGTCTCGATCTCCTGACCTCGTGATCGGCCCTCTTGGCCTCCCAAAGTGTTGGGATTATAGGCGTGAGCCACCGTGTCTCCGCCAATTGATTTTCTATGTTGAACCGCATTTGTATTCCTGGGATAAATCCTACTCTGGTCAAGGTGTATAATTCTTTTAATATGCTGCTGAATTTTTGGATTTTGCTAATACTTGGTTGAGGATTTCTACATCTATATTTATAAGGATATTGCTTTGTAAATTTTTATTTTCTTTGTAATGTCTTTTTCTCTTTGGTATCAGAGTAATCTGGCCTCATAGAGTGAGTTGAAAATATTTCTTCCTGTTCTATTTTAAACAGTTTGTAGGTTGGTGTTAGCTCTTCAAGCTTTTGGTTGAATCTACCAGTAAAGCCATCTGGTCCTATTTTTCTTTTTGTGAATTTTTAAAAATAATTAATATTTTAATCTCATTATTTGTTACAAGTCTATTAAAATTTTACCTTTCTTCTTAAGTCAGTTTTGGTAGATTGTGTGTTTCTAAAATTTTCCCATTTCATCTAGGTTGTTCAAATTGTTCAGATGTAATTATTCATGATATTTTCTAAACCTTGTATTTGGTATGACCAAATGATGTCTCCATTTTATTTCTTTCTGGTTTCCATTTCATTTGTTCATTTTGTTTTTGTCTCATTTTGAGATAAGGTTTTTCTGTGTTGCCCAGGTTGGAGTGCAGCAATCATAGCTCAATGTAACCTTGAACTCGACGAGTGATCCTTCCACCTCAGCCACCAATGAGCTAAGACTAAGGCATGCACCACTACACTCCAGCTTAATTAAAAATAATTTTTTTTTCTTTTTAGAAAAAGTCTGTGTTACCCAGGTCTCAATCTCCTGGCCTCAAGTGATCCTTCTGCCTCTGCTTTCTGCTGTGCTGGGATTATAGGTGTGAGCTATTGCACCCAGCCTGCACTTTCTTTCTTGGTAAATAATTTGAGCCTTATTTTTTCAATGCTATTCTAAGTAAAGGTTTGGTTAATTTTGTTGATCTTTGCAAAGATCCAATTTTTGGTTTTATTGATTTTCTCTATTGTTTTTCTATTTTCTGTTTCATTTATTCCATTTCTAATCTTTATTATTTCGTTTTCTACTGAAAGGTTTAGTTTGCTCTTCTTATTTTTCTAGTTCCCATGTATAAAGTTAGGTTATTGATTCAAGATTGTTCTTTCTTTAACTTATGTGTTTACAGCTATAAATTTTTCCTCTTAGCACTGCTTCTGCTGGATCCTATAAATTTGGGTGTTGTGTTTACTTTTATTCATTCAAGATACTTTTTAACTTCCCTTGTGATTTCTTCTTTGACCCATTGGTTAAGAGTGTGTTGTTTAATTTCTATGTGCTTGTTAATTTTCCTCTCCACTTTCCTCTGATCTTGATTTAACTTTATTTACTGTGTCCAGAGAACATACTTTGTATGATTTCAATCTTTTAAACTGAGACTTAGGACCAAATATATGTTCTATACTGAGAATATTCCATGTGTGCTTTTTAGAAGAATACAATATTCTGTTTTAGTCGTGAGCAGAATGTTTTGTTCATGTCTAGTGTGTGCAATTGGTTTATAGGGCTTTTCAAGTCCTCTATTTCCTTGATGATCTTCTGTAGTTTTTCTATCTATTACTGAAAGTGGGGTAATGTAGCTACCAACTATTATTACTGGGATAATGTAACCATATTAACTCCTTACTTTAAAATTCTTTGACACTGGAAGGATCTGAACCACCAACCACTCCCACATCAGACCCTATGCATGCGCCCGGCCTGTCTGTTGTCTACAGCTGTGATGGTTGGTTCCAGTTCTTTATTGTGCGTGCAGTCAGTTTTTTTGTTGTTTGTGTTTGTGTTTTTCTTAGCATTTCCCTTTGGAGGTGGCTCAGATTGCTACTTTCAGCCAGGCCCTGCAGGATGAGCTGGGCCTAGGGTCACTTGCTCCTATTCAGCAACTCAGAAATATTCTCCTTGACCATCGGATCCAGCCGTTGAAACATCCCCAGTCGTGCCAACTGCATTAATGACTGTGGGCCTCCCTTAAAGAGGCCAGCGCCCGACATTCAGCTCCACCCGCATGCGCCACTCGGCTAGCTTGGAACTATTGAGGAAGCATTATAGCTGGCTGCCATGGGCTGTGGATAGACAAAGAGGAAGATGTGGCCGGCCTGGGGACCAGCCCCACCCTTGAACCTCCCCACTCAGCCCCTGGCCTCAGCAACATCCGCCTCTGCAAAGAATTAGGCTGCTGACCCCTGGGCGCCTGAGCTTTGGGTTACAGACTATGTACTAGATGTAGTTGGGGATGGAGGATCCAGAATCCCTCAGGGTCCTTAGTCACTGGTCTTCTTGCTCTAAGCCTTCTGGACCCAGTGCTGAGAGGGCTCTGCCCAGGTAGCTCCTACTTCCAGATGGTGACTTCTGCACGAATCCTACCTTCTTCCAAGGTAAACCCTTATCCCAGGGGTGTATATGTGCATGAGGGAGAGAACTCAGGTTTTTTCCCCCATGTTTAACTTCCCACTGGGATCAGCCTCAAGGGTTAGAATGGGGAGACCTGGCAGTCTTACTCCTGAGTTTGGCTGGTTCTAATTAAGACAGTCTACCCTGCAGTTTGGCTGGTTCACTAAGACAGTCTACCCTGTAGTTTGGCTGGTTCACTAAGACAGGCCCAATCTGCAGTTTGGTTGGTTCACTAAGACAGCCTTACTCTGGAGATTGGCTGGTTCACTAAGACAGTCTACTCTGGATTTTGGCCTTGCACCCAAGGTCTTTGGGAAGCCCAAGAAGGGGTGGGTGTGGGGGTGAAATGTAAGGGGTGGGGGCGTTGCTATGTCTGAGCCCTCAGGCAAGCCAGAATGATTTTTCTCCTGTGCTGGTCTGCACTGCAAACAGACCAAAGAGAGAGTAATTTTCATATGAGCCAGAGATCTCTGGGATGAGGAAAAGAACACTGCACTTCCTGGCCAAGCCACCAGGATCCCAGGTGCCTCCTCCTGGGCATAGCTCTGGCTGATATGAAAATTAGTCTCTTTGGTCAGTGTGCAGTGCCCTAGCTGGTGTGCAGGATGGCCAGTTTAGACCCTGGCCAGTGTCTTGAGAGGCAGAACTGGTCACCTCCCCTGTGCTGAGAGGCCACATAAATGCCCCACACTCAGGTGTGGATCAAATGCACAGTGGATGCCCCCTCAGACCCAGCCAGGAGAGCTGTCCTCCAGCTGTCTGTCTGGAGCTCTGGGAAAGAGGCAGGGCCAGAAGGACCCCCAGGGCACCAGGTGAATATTTCTGCAAGTCCAGCAAGAGGAGGCGGTATCTGGGATGCTGGTGGATTGACCAGGAAATGCAGTGTTCTTCTCTATCCCAGGCTCACCCTCCAGCTCCAGCTCCTCCCACACCAAAGAATCTTTGTCAAATGTGGAGAACTGTGATCCTCCCTGATTGATAACATTCTGTGCTTCCTGTTGCCCCCAGATTGAGCCCAGGCCCCCAGACCTGGCTCCCACAGCCCCCGTGGCAGCTCTACCTGCCTTTCCCGCCTCTCCAGCCTATCCTCAAGTGATGGCCCCACTGGTCACAGAGGAGTCCCACCTCTGCCCAAGGTCTAACCCTCCTCCACCCCACCCCACACCTGCATCATCTCCACCACGGCCACCAAGTCAGCCAGTGAGATTTGGTCTCCAGTGAGGAACATCTTATCCTGCAGAAAATACTCCTCGAAGAGCCGCAGACTGTTCTTCACCTCTTCCACTGCATGCTCCATCTTCTCAGCTGAAACTTCCTCCCCTGTTATCTTTGGGATCAGCAACTGGCCAGGGTTGGGAAGAGGAGGGAAGAGGAGGCTGCACTCCAGGGCCACCTGCCCTGCCAGGTCTGTGTACTCTTGTCTGCTGGATAGATACTGGACAGTTCCCAGGACATAAAGTAGTTTCACCTCTTGTAGCAGTTCTGATTGGTGGAAGTTGCTGGGAACCATGTGTTCACAAGGATTTGGGGAGCTCAGCAGGTGTAAATCCTGTGATTGTTTAGTGATGCCTATCACAGGCATAGAATTCGAAGTAGGAACACATGTACTGGTTATTTGTCATCTTCCAATTTTCTATAGGCCTTTTCTCTTTTTTCTTCCTCTCTTTCTTTTTTTTTTTTAGAGATGGAGTCTCACTCTGTTGCCCAGGCTGGAGTGCAATGGCACAGTCTTGGCTCACTGCCAACTCCACCTCCTGGGTTCAAACTATTCTCCTGCCTCAGCCTCCTGAGTAGCTGGGATTACAGGTGCCCATCACCACACACAGTGAATAATTTTGTATTTTTAGTAGAGACAGTGTTTCACAATGTTGGCCAGGTAGGTCTTGAACTCCTAACCTCAAGTGATCCGCCTGCCTCAGCCTCCCAAAGTACTGCGATTACAGTTGTGAGGCACCACGCCCGGCCTTCTCTGGGCCTTTCGATGGTGAGATTCTCTAGTTCGGAATGAAATGCCTCGAATGCTGTCCTGGGTGAGTCATATCAGCCCCTCCTGTATGCCCTTCCCCTCGCCCTAATAAGACTCTTTCATGCCCATTGTTTCAGTCCACACCCCTGACAGCTCCGTAAGGCAGGCAGGAAAAGGAACTGAGGAAATGAGGCCCAGAGAGGGAGGGAGACTTACTTACTAGAGTTCACCAGCAATCAGCAGGGCCAGAACTGGCCTCCAGCCTCCCTGACTCCCTTGTGCCCTTGTCCCCAGGCCCCGGAAGTGATCCTGCTCACCTTGAGCCAGACTATCTTCTTCATGGGCAGCTGAAAGGCCGCGTGTTGCCAAGCCATGAACTCCTCCACACGGGCACGTGTGTGCAGGTCTGGCGGGTACCAGTGTAATGGAGCGCTGTACTTGCGGCACAGGTAGTAGAGGATGGCCACACTGCAGAAAGGGCCGGTCAGGAGCACTGCCCTTGCCTTCCTGAGTGCCAGTACATCAACCACCCCAATATGCCCTGGGCCCAACTGCTGGGGCTTCCAGAGCAAGAAGGAGCCCAAATGGCCCCGGGAAAGGCCTTCACGAGAGCTGTCTGTCTGACAGTCAGTAAGGGCAGGGAAGGAGCCCTGCAGGGTGAGTAGGAGTTGGGGGCGGGTGGTATAACAAAGAGTAGGCCAGCAAGGGGAACAACACGTGTCAAATCAGGATGCTGAGGCGGGTGGATCGCTTGAGTCCAAGAATCTGAGGCTGCAGTGAGCCAAGATCACACCACTGCACTCCAGCTTGGGTGAAGGAGCAAGTCCTTTTTGAAAAACAGAAACAGTCCGGGCACGATGGTTCACACATGTAATCCTGGCACTTTGGGAGGCCAAGGTGGGCAGATCCCTTGAGGTCAGGAGTTGGAGACCAGCCTAGCCAACATGGTGAAACCCTGTCTCTACTAAAATGAAAATACAAAAATTAGCTGGGTGTGGTGACACACACCTGTAATCCCACCTACTTGGGAGGCTGAGGCACAGAAGTCGCTTGAACCTGAAAGGCAGAGGTTGTAGTGAGCCAAGATTGTGCCACTGCACTCCAGCCTGGGCCACAAAGCAAGACTCTGTCTCAAAAAACCAACAAAGGAAAACACATGCTGAAATACCAGGGTGAGGGCAGCAAGGTGAATCTGAAGAACGGAGAGTAGGTGGGTGCAACTGGAAGGAGGGTGGGGGTGGTTGGGGAGTGGCGAGGCAGCAAGAGACACTGAGACACTGTGGAGGCCACAGAGGGTAGCGCCAGGAGATGCGGGGAGGTTATGGACTTAATCCTTAAGATTAGGCGTTGTATAAGCCAGTGCATGAAAGGATCTATCTATCTGGTGCTGGATGGAGGGTGAGCCCGAGGGGGCAGAATGGACAACAGGGGGGCCAGCACTATCGGGAAGGTTGTGGTGTCCGGGAATGGTGGAGGTCATGGGGACAGAGGGAAGGGGATGGAGGGGAGACATGCTTCGGTGGGGTGTCCTAGGCCTTGCTGATTGATGGCTGGTGTGGGAACCTCCACAGGACAAGTGCTCCTTTTTTATCATCAACAGCAACCTTGCCAAGGTAAAAAGGTCAGGGCATGGAGAGAGCTACCGATTAGAGAGTGGCGGGAGAGACAGCAACCGGCTGCAAGATTCAGAACTTGTTTGGATCCTGATCCAAACAAACTGCCAAGAAAATATTTAGGAGATAATCAGAGAGTTTTGAACAGGAACCAGACATTAGATAAAATCCAGGAATTATTGTTAATTTTATGAGGTATCCTAATGGTAATGTAGTGTTCCTACCCTCTCTCCTAGCCCAGGCTGGAGTGCAGTGGTGCAGAGTTCACTGCAGTCATGAACTCCGGGCCTCAAGCAATCCTCCCGTGTCAGCCTCTCAAAGTGCTGGGATTATAGGCATGAGCCACCTTGCCCAGCCTGTTGCTTTTTTTTTTAAAAGAACTCTTATCTCTGAGGGGTATGTTCCTAAACATTTGATTGATTTATTTACTTACTTATTTTTATTTTTGAGATGGGGTCTTGCCCTGTTGCCCAGGCTGAAGTGCAATGGCTCAATCTTGGCTCACTGCAACCTCTGCCTCCCGGGCTCAAGCAGTCTTTTCACCTCAGCCTCCTGGGCAGCTGGGACTACAGGTGCAGACCACCACACTGGCTAATGTTTATATTTGTTGTAGAGATGCGGGTTTTGGCATGTTGTCCAGGCTAGGCTGGTCTTGAACTCCTGAGCTCCGGCCATCTACCCGCTTCAGTCTCCCAAAGTGCTGGGATTACAGGTGTGAGCTGGCCCCTAAACATTTATGACTGGAATGATGGGATGTCGGGGAGGCCGGGGAATAGAAATGATGTAAAATGGACCCCAGGTTGGCAACAGTCGGAGCTGGACAATGGGTTTGTGGGGTTCCTCATGCCCCTCATTAGTTAGTATTCACTCTCCTTTAGTGTATGTGTGAGGTTTCCCATGGTGAAATAGACAAACGCTTGCACTGAGTCTCCCAGGAGGAGCAGAGACAGATGGTGCAAGGGCCCTGGGGAAGACTTACCTTTCACTTAAGATAAATTTCCCATCTTTGAGGCTGGGCAGCTTCCTGAGGGGGTTGATGTCAATGTATTCTTTGCTGTGGTGGTGACCTGGGAGGGGCAGGGAAGGTCTGAGGCTGTGGGACTCCAGGGGAGAGAGAACTGAGATTCCCAGAGACACAAATACCTCCTGCTGAGGCAGGAGAATGGCATGAACCTGGGAGGTGGAGCTTGCAGTGAGCCGAGATTGTGCCACTGCACTACAACCTGGGTGATAGAGCCAGACTCTGTCTCAAAAAAAAACAAAGAAAAAGAAAAAAACAAGCCCCAATGTGTGTGCCCTGCCTCCCCCAGGACCAGGCCTGCTGGGCAGCATGGGGAGCTAACCTTTCAGCAGATCCACAAACTGAAAGTTGAACCGGATGTCATGCTTCTTTGAGAAGATGTAGACGGCACGGCAGGGTGCTGACAGCAGGTCCATGTAGAGCTCCAGGGCCATGTTGAGACACATACCGGACCCCACAGCTGCAGCTGGCCAGCCACAGACCTGGGCCTATGTCTGGCCAGAGTCCCTGGCCCTGTGGCCTCTCCAATCTGGACCCAGGACCCTGTGTTTCCCAGGGAAACTTCTTGTTTCCCTTTGTGTTGTCATAAGGCCAGGAAGCCTGCAATTCTTACGGCAGCAAGGATTCTAAGGAGGCCCAGGAGTACGCTGGCAAGAGACCTGTGGCAAAGGTGTGGCAGCTGTGACCCTAGTCTCCCTCTTCCACATGTGCCTGTGCCCCGTGGCACCACCTCACAGACACCCTGTCTGAGAAGGGATTATGCCTGGGAATTCCCATGGCTCGACTTGCGTTGCAGAATCTGACGAAAGGGGCTTTGCAGGGTCCAGAATGAGGAAGAGGCACTAAGAATAATCCCTGGAAGATTCTAGAAGTAGAGACTGGGAGTATCCACAGGTGAATGGAGCCTGAACTAGACTAGAAAGGAATTGGGAGAAAGAGACACAGAAGCCTGGGAGCTTCGGGAGTAGTGGGGACACCACCACCAGGAAGTCAGGGGGCACTCGGCAATAAAAGTCACAGATGCAATAAAACTTATAACATATTGTTGTATAATGTTCAATAATGTATAAAAATACACCCCCATACATTATTGTTCCAACTCTAGCCCTATGTATTGCCCTCCTCACATCAATCCCTCTGCCTATACCCCACTCTCTAGTTAATGTTAACATAGGCCTCCTGTTTATATTAGCCATGTCAAGCCTAGCTGTCTACTCTATCCTGTGATCAGGAGGAGCATCTAATTGGAAATATGCATTAATAGGTGCACTACGCACAGTGGCCCAAGCAATCTCATATGAAGTCACTCTAGCTATTATCCTCCTAGCAGTCCTATTAATAAGTGGTTCCTTTAATTTGTATATACTCATTGGAACACAAGAATTTCTCTGGCTGCTCCTACTATCATGAGCTCTGGCCGTAATATGATTTATTTCCATACCCGCAGAAACCAACTGAGCCTCTTTCGACCTAACAGAGGGGGAATCAGAATTAGTCTCGAGCTTTAATGTCAAATATGCTGCAGGCCCATTTGCCTACAGCAGAGTACATAAATATCATCATAATAAATGCCCTGAGGGCCGCGAGAGGTTCCCGGGTGCAGCACACAGGAGACCATGTCTGCGGACAGTAGCTGCAGCCAGACCCCAAGCCGGGCCATCCCCGCCACTTGCCAGGTGGTGCTCGGCGAAGGCATGCAGCTCCGGCCCGCCCGGGGAATACAGCATGACTGACCCCCGGCGGCATGCTCTTCAGCACCACCCCAGGAGGTACCAGGGTCATCTACCACCGGAAATTCCTGATGGAGTGTCAAAACTGACCCGTGACCAAAACACCCCCGAGGGATCAGCCTGCCGTTCCCGGGGTCATCAGCTCTGCCAGTGATGATCCCCCTCCACGGAAGCCAACCAGGGCCACCTGCACAATAGTCCAGAAGATAAGCGGAGTGGGCGGTGAAGAAGCATAGTTTGAGATGGACAGTTAAAGCACCAGCCATTGCGTGGAGCACTGCCAAGGGACCCCTCAGGCCCTTCCCGGAGGAGTCCCACCAGCCAGACCTTATGAAAGTGATCATACTGGGCAGGCGTTGGCGTGGGGTTGGCCACCCCAGCCCTCTCTCCCTCACTCAGGGCACCTGCCCCCTCCTCCTTGTGAACACCAGCAGGTAGCTCCTTGCCTCTGCTGATGCAGGAGCTGCTGCCCCAAGGGGAGTGACCCCTGCCAGCATACCCTGCAGCTGAAGGCCAGGAAATGGACAAGAACGAACCCTTTCTTCCAAATGATCAGCTCTTCCAGCCCCTCGCTGCTGGGGGCCCAACCACCCCTTCCTCAGGTTGATGTGCCTGGGAAAGCTCCCCTCCCCTCCTTCCCTAAGAGAGGAAATAAAAGCCACGTTCGCCCTAGGGCAAAAAATAAATAAACAATAAATAATAAACACCGTAACCACTATTGTCTTCCTAGGAGCACTGCATAACATATATATGCCAGAACTCTATACCACAAATTTCATCACTGGAACTCTCATTTTAACAAGCCTTTTTTAATGAATTGGAACATCATGCTCCCGATCCCATTAGGATCAGCTCATACATCTCCTATGAAAGTTTTCTACCACTCACACTAGTACTTTCATGTGACATTTCTCCATGCCAGTCCTAACCTCCAGCATCCCACCCCAAACATAAGAAATATGTCTCACAAAAGAGTTACTTTGATAGAATAAATTACAGAGATTTAAACCCTCTTATTTCTCAAATTACAGGAATTGAACCTACCCATGAGAATCCAAAATTCTCCGTGCTCCCTAATACACCACATCCTATCACCCCACAGTAATGTCAGCTAAGTAAGTTATCGGGCCCATACCCCAAAAATGGTGGTTATACCCTTCCTGTACTAATTAATCCTCCAGTGTGTGCCATGCAGAGGAGCCCAGAAACTTCCTGGCCTGGGTTGGGGCTGCAGTGGCCAGACTGTGCACCTGGTGGCCCAGGAAAGTAACTAGAGCCCCACGTGGGGGACTGAGTGCCACTCACTCTATGCTGTGTGATCCAATATGTCTAGGCTCAGCAATGGGACTGACCCCACCTCCAGTGACAGAGTAAGCCTGGAGACAAGCGAAGAGCACGCAGTGTGTTTATTGCAGACAGCAGGGTGCGGTGGAGGGGGCTACACCCACTCAGCGGAGCCGCTCCTGCAGCAACTGCACCTGCTTCTGGGCCAGCTGGGGGTCCCGCCGAGCCTCACTGTGGTTCTGAGGCTAGAGAATGAACTTGTGGGCCTCCAGGAAGAGCTCAGTATCCAGGGCGGCCTCCACATGGGTCCGCCACACTACCAGCCTGGGCCAGTCTTGGAAGAGGTCACAGCCAACAGCAGTGGGCAGGGAAGACAGGACAGCTGGGGTTGGGGCTCAGCCCCATGCCCAGAGTCTCCCCAGAGGGCAGGTGGGTAGGAGAGCTTCACCTCCATCACCTCCGTCAGCACCAATCTTCCAGGGAGAGCTGCTCCATTGCCACAAAGGCCGGGGCTACAGGCACCCGCCACCACACCCGGCCAATTTTTTGTATTTTTAGTAGAGACGGGGTTTCACTGTGTTACGCAGGATGGTCTCCAACTCCTGACCTCGTGATCCGCCCGCCTCGGCCTCCCAAAGTGCTGGGACCACAGGCATGAGCCACCGCGCCCGGCCTCTATCTCTTTCTTGACCTGGGATCTTGCTGTGTCACCCAGCCTGGAGTGCAGTGGCATGATCATGGCTTACTGCAATCTCCAAGTCCTGTGCTCCAGCAGTCATTCCCCTACAGCCTCTGGAGTACCTGGGACTACAGGTGCACACCACCATACCCCACTAATAAAAAAAACAAAAAAAAAACCTTGGGCCCACCACGGCGGCTCATGCCTACAATCCCAGCCCTTTGGGAGGCCAAAGTGGGCTGATCACATGAGCCCAGGACGTCAAGACCAGCCTGGGCAACATGGTGAAACCCCGTCTCTACAAAAAGTACAAAAATTAGCCAGGCATGGTGACGCATGCCTGTATTCCCAGCTACTCAAGAGACTGAGGTGGCAGGATCACTTGAGCCTAGGAGGCAGAGGTTGCAGTGAGCCAAGATCATGCCGCTGCGCTCCAGCCCAGGCAACCGAGCCAGACTCTGTCTTAAAAAAAAAAAAAAAAAAGAGAGAGAGAGAGAAACAGGGTCTCCCTATGTTGTCCACAGTGATCTCAAACTCCTGACCTAAAGTGATCCTTGGGTCTCAGCCTCCCGAGCTGAGGGATTGCAGGTGTGGGCCACCACGCCTGGCTACCACTCCCTTTCTCTGAGTCAGCTTTTCTCTCTGAGACTCACCTACTCCATGAACTCAGGAAATGTCACTACAGGTGGCCCCAGCTCCCATTTACCTACCCATAGGGAGCTCCTCTCTCCAGTTCCAATTTCAAAACTCCCCAAGGAAGCGTTCTGGTTCAGTCACTTGGGCCACTGGCCAGAGGGATGGGAAATTCTGAAAGATTCTGCTAGAGTCCCGGGCCCAGCCCTGGACCATCACTGTGCCCCGTGGTGAGATGCCAGGGCTGGGATTCAGGGAGAAGAAAGGAGTTTCCTGCGCAGTCATTCCTGCCTTCTGCGGCTGCTGCAAGCTCCCTGCCCCATCCTGTGCACGAAGCAGGAGCTCCCGCTGTCTGGCAGCAGCTGCTGTGCAGGGGATGGTAGAAAGTTCATCCTTAACCCCAGCCTTCCAGTCAAGGTTCCCACCAGTCTGGGACACCTGCAAGTGTCACATCCAACTGGGTGAAACTCAAAGATCCCTTTTAGAGGAGCCCATTCGCTCCCTCCCTTCCTCCGCCTTGCAGAGCCGAGAAACAAAACTGAACGAACCATCAGATGTTCGTGCGCTGGGGCCTTTCCAGGATGGCAGGGCCCAGTCGTTTCTGGGTCAGGGCAACGTCTGGAAACGGGTAAGGTCCCTGGCACCGGGACCCCTCCCAGTTTCAATCAATTCTCCTGCCTCAGTCTCCAGAGTAGCTGGGATTTACAGGCACCCGCCACTGCACTTGGCTAGTTTTTTTTTTTTTTTTTTTTTTTTTTGAGACGGAGTCTCGCTCTGTCACCCAGGCTGGAGTGCAGTGGCGCAATCTCGGCTCACTGCAAGCTCCGCCTCCCGGGTTCACGCCATTCTCCTACCTCAGCCTCCCGAGTAGCTGGGACTACAGGTGCCCGCCACTGCGCCCGGCTAATTTTTTTCTATTTTTTAGTAGAGACGGGGTTTCACCATGGTCTCGATCTCCTGACCTTGTGATCCGCCCGCCTCGGCCTCCCAAAGTGCTGGGATTACAGGCGTGAGCCACCGCGCCCGGCTAGTTTTTTGTATTTTTAGTAGAGACAGGGTTTCACCGTGTTAGCCAGGATGGTCTGGATCACCTGACCTCATGATCTGC